CTTGGCTTTAAGAGGTCACAAGCCAAAAAGGCTGGAAAGTGGTGCTATATTTTATTATTCAACACATGCTGCCCCCTGATGGGAACACAGTGTGGATTCTGCAGTGAGGCTCAAACAACTTCAAACGAGGAAGTACGCTCCCTGAGCAGGCTGGGAGTAACCTAAGCCCTTTATGCTTCTTCAGTGGATTCCTATTAGCAGAGCTTAAATGCTGTCATTTCAGTTAAGCCACGGCAAATCACCTGAGCTTCACATCTAGTGGGGGGAAAGAAGTAAAAATTAGAAAAATGATGAAATAGTTGTATGAGGAATCAAACAGAATGGAAATGAACAGGGTAGCATAGACCCACGTTTACAGAATAAATACGAACCTCTGCTAAGCGGCTGCATGCTGTGAAAAGGCCTGCCCTACGACTCCAGGGCACTTATTACTATGTGATTAACCTCTTCAGGATTAACTGGGCAGCAAAAGACACAGGATTGGTCAAAGGTTAGTGCTCAGACAGCCACAGTGAGCATGAAGGGCGGCCTATTAAATAAAAGGCCACTCTCAGATCTGCCCGCCTGTTTTCAAGCATCTTTTTGATACACAATGTAGCATTCACTGTGCAGTACTCATCCCTCTGTGTTACAGCATGCAAGGTCAGCTGCCTTATTACCGTACTTTTTTTTTAAATGTTGTACTCAATTAGAAAAAGGCACAAAATATAAACACACAGCCAAACACCTGGTGTGTGTTGGCAGCCATGAGACAAACTGCAGGTGGGGATGAATTCAAGCGAATCTGCACCAGAGGAGGTAATCATGAATAAAACATCATAGCTTCATACTTGTTGAGGCTGTAGATTTTTTTTTTTTGCACTGCTATAACTCCTAGTTGTTGCCTCCCATTAGCAGGGAGAACAGGAAAGAAACCCTTGTTTTTATAGTAAAATACATTCCAAAATAGGTTTGCTACTTTGCAATGCTCACGTATAAATTTAAAGATCAGCTGTCAAACAGAATTTAAATATGGAAATAAGGATCCCTGTAATCTCTTCCCATGATTACTGCAACTTTGTCAGTCACTACCTCCAACAAAGAAACAAAGAAGAACGGTAGCTGGAGTTAGGGCTCATTTCATTCTTTTCTCATGTCTCCCCTGCCACCATAACTGCTGTGTGTGTGCATGAGGGGCCAGCTCATGGCAACCTGCCATTCCTTGCCTGTATCCATGACGGATGGAGAAAGCATGTGGGAATGTGTTAACCTTTCTGCCCAGACAAGGACAGTGTCTCCAACCAAAGAAGATTACCATCCCTTCAACAAATCGATGGATCTTTCACCATTTTATTTTTTACTTCCTGCTTTCCAGTGACATAAATCACACAAACAATTTTTTCCAACACCTCTGAAAAATAGAAACATGTTTTAGACAACATTTTTTTCTAATTTAAAAGTAGCTATAGTCAGTATGGCTATATACTGTATACATTAGATCCCATGACTACTTATATGTGAGAGAGGTCACACTGTAATAAACTCGCAGAGAAATACCACCCACCTCTGCATTTCCCCTCAGAGCATTTTAGTATCTTTCAGCTAATTGGGTTTATGGCCTGTTTTGGTTCACTCTCATCAGTGTTATTCTCAGCTGTAGCAGGGAGTTGTTTTCACAGTAAAAGCTCTGAAAACCCCACTTTACGCTACATGCTTAACACCAAACATCACACAAGCAGAGTCTGTATGTACCTGGTTAAACATAGTGAAACAACAGGAAGCTAAATAACCAAATATTTCCACACACTGGTGAGGACCAAAGCTAATGCACTTACATGTATCAGGTGGATACAGACATGACTCCATACGAACGCTAGTGTTGCTCCATGTCCGGCTGATCTTTAAATCGACAGCTCTTTAGCTTAAAACATGATAATTGTCCATGTTGTGTTTATGGCTTGCTTGCTAAACAAAAATCTATTATTGCAGGTTTGATTAAAAAGACACCATTGTTCTCAAATCTAAATGATCTCAAAACAAGCAGAACAAGTGTCAAATTAGGTAATTTTTGCTTTAAATAAATAAATACTTGATTAATAAATTTAAAAAAATCTTACAAAGGCATTTGATATCAACCACAACAGTACTGATGTGTGATATCCAGATAACATGTTACTGGCAAAACAGCAAAAATATCTGATATTGTAGTTAAGAGTACAGCCCTGCTGGTATTCTCAACTCCGTGTTACTTTTTCAGTTATTTAACATTGTTTCTCCATTCTTGCTGTGCACATTGCTTCTGGTCATTGGAAAGACCCAAATGTGGGATTATTTCAGGTAAAATTAGCTGGCACAAAAAAATGACAAAACTTAATAAGACATAATACTCAGCAGATAATTTCATGTCTAATCTTTTCTTTTCCCTTCCAGTGTGACTGTGTAAGTGACGGACAAGCCAAGATGTGTTTAGAAAATCTCTACCTGCAGCGAGACATCCTGTTCATTCACACAAATTTGGAGATGAAAGCTGCTTTTTTTCCTTCCTCTATGATCTTATCTGATTGTTCTTTATCTTTTTTTGTTTGTTTGTTTGTTTACCAGGGACCCAGATGAGGACGTGCACTACATCTCCCTTAAATCTGTGTCATGTTTTTTGTGCTTGTCCTTTTTTATTAAACTCACTACTTCTTTAAGACCATAAAACTATCTGCACCAGCATGCACAAAGAGCTGTTATAAAAGGCATCTGCACACACCCAAACATACAGTTACACACACACACATACACACAGAGCAACTGAACCAATCACTTAAGGTCTCTGAGGCCTCGATAAGCTTCTGTAAATCAGCCGCCATCCGGCAGTGAGTTTTATTCCCCTCTCTTTCAATGGATGTTGGGTTATGACCCGTAGGCAGCAGGTTATTTATTGCTTTTGCCTCAGCCTGTGTTGACTCCCAGTCATTCATCTATGGTTCTAGGCTAACAGAAATCAGCACAGGGTTGTATTTCTGGGGGAAGCCTGCTAAGCTGCAGGGACTCAGCTCAATTGCCTCCTCAGAGCCTCGTCTCCCCAGGTTCTGTCTCTCAAGTCCTCAGCTTTCTTCCTTGAGTTCTTTTTTTCCCCCCCTTTGGTAATGACGGAATCAAAATGAAACCCTACAATAAGAGTGACCCTGAGGTGAATGAATCTCTTTCAATAAGTGTTAGTGAGAATTAGAAAGAGGAAAGAGCTGAGAGATGCCACAGCCCATATACATTTCCCAGAAGCTGCTGGCAGAGATGATGGACAGCCAGCAGCCCGCTGCCCTGCCTGTTTGCCCAGCACATAAGAAACATCTCTATTCACAGAGATGGCTGCCTCTTTTGTAATGGAAGCTCAAAATAATAAAAGATGAAAGAATGAAATTGTCAGTGCCAGAATGAAAGTTAACCTTGATGTTCTGTCTCCACAGTAATGCGATTTTTGATGAGCAACACATTCTTAAGCTG